TTCGCTGTCCGGGGGCGCAGGCCGGAGTGGATCGGCCTCTGCCTCCAACAGCTTCACCGCTTGCCGAGGCATGTCGTGGACACCGTCCGAAACAAACGCGCTGATCGCCGTGTGGGGCAACGAAAGGCTGGCGGAGGCGCGGATGCAGCAGCTGGAGGTGGCCGGGACGGTGTTCACTGGCAAGGCGCCGGGACCCGCGATGTACGAGCGGGTGTCCAGAGCGCTGTCAGAGCTGGGTTACGAAAGGACCCCATCCCAGTGCCGAGAGAGGATGAAGGTAAATAAGACATCCAAACACATGGCTGTCACTCAGATTTGCTTCGAGGCTTGTTGTCATGTTTATTTGGCTGTTTGTTTTTGTTACACAGAGCTTTGGTGAAGCTGTCAAAATCAAAACACAAAGCATCGATCTGTCTCGTCTCAAGCTTATTTGAATGATTGCTGTCAGTTATGATCATGGGGTTGTTGTGATGTTTATGGTAGATTGTCTCCACATAGCTTTGGTAAAATGGCAAAATAAAAACAAAACAAAACGCTTTGATTGGGGCATTGAAGTTTAGATACCACAAATTAACATAAAATATAAAGGCTTCAATGTCCATCCATATTCAGACCCAGAATCATTAGACATTAAAAGACTCTAAGGACCACAGTGCAGACCCCAAAAACTAATTAACTGTAATTTTACATCTTTGCCACTATCCTTCAAACCACTAGATTTCACCCATTTGTTACCCAAATTTTTAATAATATATAATCAAATTTAGAACAATCACTTGTTATTTTATGTTTTAAGTATGTTGTATCATGTTTACATAAATATATCTGTTACGCTGAATGACAAAGGAACATTATTTCATGCGTATTTTGAATTTTATTTTCACAAAAGTTATTAGAAACATTAAAGTAGACACTTTACTTGAATTTAATATTATGCATTCTATAGCTGTCATCTAATTCATGTAATTCTTTTATTTTTTAGATTATTTTACATCTCCATTAATGTATGACTAATTGTTTCATATTTTATATATCAAGCATTTACTTATTTTTATTTATTTATTTACTCCAACATTTACCTGTAAATCTCTTATGCCACCCACAACATGAGTGATATATTATATATTAATTATTTTCTATATATATTACATTTGAAACCAATGTGACCAGAGTTATAGCAGGGTTCAAACCTACACCCTTTTGATAACTACCCCAAATCTTTAACTGATGCACCATACCACCCAACTTTCGCACTGCTTTCACTGCGTCTGAATTTGCGTACATCCCTGCTATATAGTACGCAAAAAGCGGCATGTCGCATTTTTATGATGTCCGATCTAGTGTGCGCACTATATATTTCATAAGGTCATAGTATTTCATAAGGCCATGCATCGCTATCAGATGTGAAAAGATGATAATAATTGAGTGTCTATTTTTAAGTGTAAATGCTGTAAGTACTAAGATAGCTGTTCTTCATGGTTTCTGACGAGCAGTTGATTATTTGTGATGTACGTCTCAGTCTTAATTGTTTCAAATACAGTGTGCATGTATTGCTGTATCTATAAACATGACTGTCGTCTGCAGACGCTGAGACGTTGTTATAGCCGGGTGAAAGAGCACGGCATTGGGAAGAGGAAGAGCAGTTACTCCATCGAGCAGCTGGAGAAGGTGTTCGGGCAGGGCGGCTGGGATTCTCAAAGCTGTCAGCCTGTG